GGGCGTGAGCGCCGGGGTGCGCGTTGCCTGCATGCGCGCAGCTCCAGCCCCGGGCGGCCGCGGCGGCAGCGCCGGAGCCAGAGGCAGCCGGACGCGTAGAGGAGCGCGGAGCCCGGGAGGCGCCCCGGGTCCCCGCTGGACCATTGTCACTGTCTAGCGCCCGGGTGCGCTGCAAAGACGAGGACCGGACTCTCTTGAATCTCCTGGCGCGGGGCGACTCTTGGTATTTTCTAACTCAACTCGTGGATTGGAACGTGGCTCCGCTCCGAGCGCGGCCGGCGACTTGTAGGACCCCAGCCCTGGCCCCGGCTGCCGCGCACGCCCTCGGAAGACTCGGCGGGGTAGGGGCGCGGGCGGCCGCGAAGGTCTCCGCGTGCACCGCAGTCGAGCCCAGGGCTGATTGGAGGGGGAGCCCCGGAGAATCAATTTGGGATTTGTTGTGAACAGCATGGAGGAGAATGACCCCAAGCCCAGCGACGCGGCGGCGGCGGTGGAGGGGCAGCGGCAGCCGGAATCCAGCCCCAGCGGAGGCTCGGGCGGCGGCAGCAGCAGCCCAGGCGACGTCGACACTGGCCGCCGGCGGGCTCTGATGCTGCCCGTGGTCCTGCAGGCGCCAGGGAACCACCAGCACCCGCATCGTATCACCAACTTCTTCATCGACAACATCCTGCGGCCCGAGTTCGGCCGGAGAAAGGACGCGGGGACGTGCTGTGCCGGCGCGGGAGGAGCAAGAGGCGGCGGAGCCGGCGGCGAAGGCGGCGCGGGCGGCACGGAGGGAGGCGGCGGCGCGGGCGGCGCCGAGCAGCTCCTGGGGTCGAGCCGGGAGCCCCGGCAGAACGCGCCGTGTGCGCCCGGTGCGGGCGGGCCGCTGCCCGGCGACGGCGGCGACTCTCCGGGCGACGGGGAAGGCGGCTCCAAGGCGCTCTCGCTGCACGGCGGCGCCAAGAAAGGCGGCGACCCCGGGGGCCCCCTGGACGGGGCGCTCAAGGCCCGCGGCTTGGGGGGCGGCGACCTGTCGGTGAGCTCGGACTCGGACAGCTCGCAGGCCAGCGCCAACCTGGGCGCGCAGCCCATGCTCTGGCCAGCTTGGGTCTACTGCACGCGCTACTCGGACCGGCCATCTTCAGGTGAGCCTGCGGGGACCTTCGTCCCGGCCGGGCCCGGGGAGGAGGCCCGCGGGGTTGCGGGACGGCGCTGGCGCGGGAACTTACCGGGAGGAAGAAGACGCCAGCACACCCCCCCCACACACACACACAAAGACGCACACACCGCGACATTGTGTGCGGCTGACGCCGGCCCGGGCAGCGGCCGCCAGGAGAGGGCTCAGGATTGATTCCCAAGGGTGTCCAGACTTCTGAGAACAGCAGAAGCGACAGGACCTCCTCTTTCTCTGGCCTTTTGGGCTTCTCCTCGCCGCCCCTCACCCACCCTCTCTGGCTGGAGTTTATTTGGTGGGAACGGGGGAGCCTGGAAGACAGGTTCGGAAGCTCGCACCTTTTCCACGTCCCTCCAACTCAGTCCAGACTCGGGACCCACGCCCACCCCACCCCAGACCTGGACTCTTCCTATGACCCAAATATCCCAGATGTAGCCAGGGAAGAAAGAGCAAGGCGGGCTGCTCCTCCTGCGGCTCGGCTCGGGCTGACAAGGGGGGAGCAGGGGATCAGGAGAGGGAAGGGATGAACACAGAGGCGCCCTTTGCCCTCAAATAAACCTCCGGGTTTATTTGCCGAGCCCACCGCGGGGGAGCTCAGCACCCATCTTGCACACAGCGTGGAGGAAGAAGGCCTGCAATGCCCGGAATAGAAAGGACCTTCTCCCAGAGGCTTCCTGGGGCTGCTCCTGGGTAGGAAAGAAGCAGATTTCGGAGGGGGTGTGTGGAGGAGTGGGGGGCTGTGTGCAGTGGTGCTGGGTGTATTTTTCATAGATCTGAGATTTTAAAAAGCTAAGTCCACATCCTTGTAGAAATCATCAGCTGCATTAAATGTGCGTCTGAGGCTGTGAACCGCCATTAGGAACAGATTCCATTTGTCCCCGAGCTGGCAGCCCAGACTGGACACCCCCTGCCCCTCAACCCTCAACTGTTTTTGCGGGGGTCGTTTACCCAGATCACAGCACAACTGAGTCACCCCTTGGCCTACTTCCCGCAGAAATGTGTCTGTGCGCATCTCCGATGAAATCCAAATTTCTCCAGCTAGATCTGAAATTTGCTCCATTGTTCTCGCCTCCTTCCTTTGTTAATATTTAATTAACATATAGGCTCACACAGCGGCCGGCGAGGAGCCTCGGCCCGGCTTTGTGCGGCGCCGGCGCCGGAGTCGCGGCCGCGCCAGGCCCCAGGCGCCCGCGGGAGCCCGGCAACCCGGCCTGGCCCAAGCCGCTGGTCTTCCTGAACTGAAAAAAAAAATCCCCGTTTAGATAACGTTTCTGTTTCTGGGCGTTTCAGAAAGAAGCGACGCAGAGTTTTCTTGCGGAGGTTTGGTCCTGTTTCTGAGACTCCTAAGTGTGTGCATTTTGAAAGAAAATCAGGGCAGAAAGGGAACTAAAATTTCTGATTTTAGGGAGGTGTTTTCCATGAACAGTGTGTGTCTTTTTGCGGGCTGATTCGTGTGTGCAAAAGCCCTAGGACCGTAGGAGTCTGGGGGTAGGGAGCGTGCTTCTCGGGAGCACCGGCTCGGGGAGCACGAGGCTGCGGTCGGGTGGGAGCAGGTGGGGGACCCCGGGGACTCTAGAGGCCTTACAGAGCCACCTCCTTCCCCCTTCGCTTGCGCCGGGAGCCCGGCCTCCCGCCCCGAATCCGCACCCGCGCGGTCACAGTTAGGCTGGGTGGCGCGGAGCCGGCGCCCTCGGCGTAGTGCGCGACGGGGACTGTGAGTGTGCGCGCCTGGGTGGGTGTGGGGGGGGGGCGCGGGTGTGAGTAAGGGTGTGCTTTAGAATCTAAAAGGCCAGGAATGTGAGCCTAAAGGCCCTTGGAGCCCTCTCTCCGGCGCCCAAAGCCCCTTTCCGAGTTTGCTTCCCCGAGAGAACGCACGGCCCGGTTGGCGGGGAGGGAGATCTCGGCGGCCCCTGGGTCTCCGGACGTTCCCAGACGCCTCGCTCAGCGTCGCCCGGGCGCGTTCGTCCTCCCTCCTGGTGGCGATCGGGATGCAGCCGAGCAGCCTTCCAGCGAGATCCCTCCGCCCCGCTGCGTAGGGTGGCCACGCAGTCCCCTGGCCCTGCAGGGTGGGATGGGGCGCGGGACGGGGACCGGGGGGTTTCGGCTGCCCGAGGTCTAGCCTGCTCCAGCCTCCCGCCTCGGAGGCCGCGGAAGAAGCTGGGGCTGAGAGGTCCCCAAAGTTGATTCACACACTTCACAGATTAAGAAACCCAGACACGCATTCCCGATTCCCTCCCCCAGTGGCCTCTCCGGCCTCTTCCCTCACGGACACGCTCTTGGGACTGAGCTTCTTGACGCCAACAGAAAGAAAACCCTTGGCTTCCTCCCGCTGCTTCCCTTGCTCGGGCCTCTTCTGATGGCCAGGTCCTAGGAGCCTTACCACCACTGTCCCTAAGCAACCTGAAGTCGTGTGGCGCGAGGGAAGTCCGGTGGGGGTCAGAAGAGTGCATCCTCTGCCCAGGGTCAGCTGGGCCCCCTGCGGCCTCCAGCGGGGCAGCCCCAGCCTGGGGCGAAGGGGGCAGGCAGCTGTAGTGAGTGCAGGGAAGGGACGCGAGACTGAGGAGGCTTGGTGAGGGTGAAGGGGGAGCTGTGACTGGCTCAGTGCTCCTTCCCAACCTGGGAAAGGACACGCGTGTGCTCCTTGCTGTCTTGAAAGGAGACAATGAACTTGCGCCCACGGGGCCAGCTGGGGAGACAGAAAGGGGCTGGGGTGGAGGCAGACCTCCGGGCCCCTCCCGTGCTCAGGCCCCACCTGCCCCCCTGGCTCTCACTGCCCTTAGTGCCTTCGGGGTGTCCCCCATGGGGGCCCTGTGGGAGTCCTCTCACATCCCCTGGGGCTCCTCCCCCAATCTTCCCCCCTGACCGCTCTCCCAGCACCTACCCCCATCCTGTCCTTATCCTTGGACAGAACCTCAGAAAGCTCTAGAAGAAGCCTTGCCAGAAAGTTTGGGATTTTTTCTTTCCTGCAGGAGTCTGCCTTTTACTTGGAGACCTTTCCACTGAGCCTGCCCTTTACCCTCCTCACACCCCTCACCCGGACTTCCCTGGCCCATCTCCTCCTCTCCAGGAGTGGGTCCAGAGGTGGGTGGGAGTCCCGCCCAGCCCCAAGTCCAGCCCGCCTTTCCTCCAGGTCGGCCTCGCAGCCGGGGGCAGGCACTTCTGTCCGCAGTCTGCGGCCTTCCCCTGACCCCCTCTGAGTGCACCGCGGGCCAGGAGCCTCCTAACGGTGTCCTCTCTGTCCACCACGCCTGCCCAGGTCCAAGGTCTCGCAAACCAAAGAAGAAGAACCCCAACAAAGAGGACAAGCGGCCGCGCACAGCCTTCACGGCGGAGCAGCTGCAGAGGCTCAAGGCCGAGTTCCAGACCAACAGGTACCTGACGGAGCAGCGGCGCCAGAGCCTGGCGCAGGAGCTCAGCCTCAACGAGTCGCAGATCAAGATCTGGTTCCAGAACAAGCGTGCGAAGATCAAGAAGGCCACGGGCAACAAGAACACGCTGGCCGTGCACCTGATGGCGCAGGGCCTGTACAACCACTCCACCACGGCCAAGGAGGGCAAGTCCGACAGCGAGTAGGGCGGCGGGAGGCCGAGTCCGGTCTCAGTCCCGCTAGCCAATGCAATAATTTAAATCACAAATCAAGGGCCAGTGTATAAAGATTATACCAGCATTAATAGTGAAAATATCGTGTATTAGCTATGGTTCTGCAATATTCTATGTATATATAATTTACAGGTGTGTAAAATCCAAAATATCTGACTGTAAAATATTTCTTGAGTTTTTTGTGTTTTTCAAATTATGCTAATTTTATGGGGGGTTTTTGTTTTGTTTTTTTATTTTCAAAGGGGGCTGTTTAGGGTTTCATCTTTTTTAATCCCCTAAGCTCCATTATGGGACATTGGGCTTTTTTTTTTTAATTTCAAAAGAAGAAAAAATTAAAACAACTTGCTGAAGTCCAAAGATTTTTATTGCTGCATTTCACACAACTGTGAACCGAATAAATAGCTCCTACTTGGTCTGTGAGTTCCGCCACTTTGTTTGTGTGGGCTTGGTGTGACAGCAGGCACCAGGAGGGCCATACCCTCAGCCTCGCCAGCGGCAGCGCAGGAGCCCCGGTGGGGCGAGGGAACTCTTGGCGTCCGGGGAGGAGTGCCGCACCCTGAAGACAGGGCCTGCCCTGGGAAGTGGGCCCATGGTGGTCAGAGGCCTCCCCGGCTCTCCTCTCTTCCTCCTGTCCTGCTCCTCCCCGAGGCCCCGCCTGCACATCCGTGCATGCTTCCGCCGGCGTCTGTCGCTCTCCCCTGTCCAGCCACCTGCCACCAGCGCCAACTCTCCCGCCTCCAGGGCTCCCGGGAGGAGGGACCGGGCGTGTGGCCTGGGGCCGGTGAGCAGTGGGGTGACCCTCAACCCTCCAGGCCTGGGGCCAGGGAATCTCCTGCAGCTCCATCAGCCACCCCAGGTGCCCTCCCAGGCCAAGAAACGGCTGAGGTTTGCAGCCTCCGAGGGGCTGAGGGCTCCTGAGAGGAAGTTGGCATTTTCTCCTTTCTTTTTTCTTTTTCTTCCCTTCCTGTTTTGGTTTTTTTTAAGTGACCGATTGTGCTACAGAGAACATTCTTTCAAGGTAGATATGCATGTGTATACATATGTATATATGCGTGTATACACGCACAGCAGGTGGATATGAATCCGCAGTTCTGGGCCACGCGGCTACCTTGACTTTTAAAGGAACTCAGAGTCCTCCAGGATCTAGAGGAAGGAAGTAATTGTGTAAATAATCATTTCTTATCACTTTTTGTCTTTTCTTGTTTTTTTAAAATATACATTTTATTTTTTTGAAGGTGTGGTACAGTGTAAATTAAATATATTCGCTATATCCCCCACCAAGTACATATATATATAAACAAACACATTCTCTCTATATATAACTCCACACTGTCTTCTGTTTAGTGTATGGAAAGGGAATCATGTCCAAATGTCCATCTGCAGCCAGGACAGCCCAGGGGGTGTGCCCATGGCTGAACCAGGAGTCATGGCTGTCCCCCTGAGGACTGAGGGTGAACTTCTCTCTTTGCCTTAAACCTCTTTATTTCACTGCGATAATAGTTTCACTCTGTACATACTAGTGTAAACCTTTTTAAAAAGGAAACTATAAAAACAAAAGTTGTAATTTAAAGTTCTGTGAATAACCATCTGCTGCTTAGGAAACTCAATGAAATGATATGCCTTTTTAGCAGGAAGCAAAGTTTTTTGGTTTTTTATTTTTTAGTTTATAAAACGTTCATTTTACAGTTCCAGTATCAGATATTTATAATCTTATGAGAAATGAATGTTTCTATTTACAACTGTGGTTATCAAAATTGTGAACATTCCCCTTGCATTTTTGTGTGTTTAAATTCTTGAAAGTTACATTAAATAAAGAAAACACCCCGCTTTATTGTAAAATATTGGCTGTCCAAGGTGGAATGACTAGTTTTTCTGAGTGTGTTTCTGAGTCCGCCCCGCTCACGTGCCGCAGGCCTTTACCGCAGTCAGCAGGGGCCGCAGCCTACCTCTGTAGCCAGAGGCATAACTGAAAAAGTGCTCAAGACATTTTGGACATCTCCTATGTGAGCACAGAACAACCAAAGTAATTTAGGCACACATTTCTTTACCACGAGAAAGTGTTCAGAAGTATGGTGCTACTCCATTGGATAAATATTCAGAATCCTGCAGAATGCCACAGGTCTCGGTCCTGCTGGGCGCTGTGGCGCGCTGGATGGAGGCGCTCACCCCCCGGGGCGAAGAACTCCTACTCGACGGGCGACAAACAGGCGCTCCTCGTTTTACAATTTGTTGCTGTTGTTTTCACTCCCCCAAAGCAGAGGACGTGGACCACATCCCAAGGCGGATGCGGGGGGAGGACTGGCTTTTGCCTCGGTTCCGGAGTCCCCTCGGCGGGCCGCGAAGCGTTGGGGATCTTCGACCTTGGGATCCACGGCCCGTGCGGCCACGCAGGATAGCCGACGTGAGCCCTGCGCGCCCCACTGCTTTATTTCCAAACTTTCTTGGCTTGAAACAAAAGTTCTCCTAGTAAAAAAACTCAGAGACTAGCTAGTTTCATCTGTTGCCAGAGCGACTTTTTAGGCGTTTTCGGTTCCACACCGGCTTCCCGGGCAGACGCCGGGCCTCGGGGAAGGAGCGGGGCTGCCCCGGGGATTTCCAAAGGCAAGTCGAGCGAGAAAGCGGAGGTCTCACCGCGGAAGCTCCGGAGCTCCAGCTGCCCGGTCCCAGGAGTGCCCCAGGGTCGTCACCAAGGGGGCACGATCACGCAGGCCATACCTGGTGTCTTTCCTCACCCCGTTCTGCACAGTTCTGAGGGTTCTTAAATTAAAAACAAAACAAAAAACCACTAGCACAACTTCTATTACCCGATTGGCCTCTCTTTTTAATAAAAAGAATATAGCAACACCAAGCAATCATTTTTGGTTTTTGTTTTTTAATCTGTTCGCAAGTCATATCACTGTTAAGGGGCAATGTACAGTTATGCGAGGTAATGAGTTCCCCGTCCCCAGAGGTGTGCAAGCAGACACTAGGCCTATAGTGGCAAAGGGAGATTTCTCTTTTTGTCTCTGGTAGGGGATTGGACTGAATGAGCCCTTAGACCCTCGACGCTGAGATTCCGGTTTTGCTCCTATGTTTATTATATTTTTTTATTCAACAGAGTACAATCTAAGCTTGTAACTCATGGAGAGCCACTGCTGTGCCAGCCATCTCGCTCTCACCAGGGGCGAGTGGAGACCAGAGTCAGGCCTGCAGGAAGGCCATGCTCCTTTCTGAAGTCCGGCGGCCGGATCGGTTCCACTTGGGCCTCCACGGCTCTGCGCGCCTCGGATCTGGACCCGGACGACAGCACCGAAAGTCGGTGGAGCCCCGCACCTGGGCCCCCGCCAGATTGCCGCCCCCGCGGGAGGCTGGTTTCCTAAAGGCTCGTCAGACGAAAGCTTGTTCATAAAGAAAGGCCGTGCTCCTTCGAGCTGAATAGCCTCCTACCCGCCAGGCCCGGCTGAGTCCCTGCGGGCCGCTGAGCCGTGTCCACAATCCCCCAGAGCCAGGCAGAGCCCGGGCGGGAGGACCGCCGCCGCTCCCCAGGCCTGCCCGAGCAGGCGCTCCTGCGAGGTACTCAGAGGGCCTACCTCCTCCGGCTGCCAAAAGGGGTCGATGAGTAGGGTCCGACCCTCAGGCTGGAGTCAGAATCCGAGGGTCAACACAGGCCCGACGGTCGCCCAGTGTGGACCCGCCCACGCTTTCTTTAGGGAGACAAAGAAGGAGCCCGCAGCGACACCAGTCTGATCCCCAAGAGGGCTCCATCTTGTTTGTGTTTTCCTTGAGTGAAAAGGGCAGATCGATGGGGCTCCGAGCCCGCGTGGCACGGGTGTGCCCGCGCGTACAGCGCGCACAGCAAACACCCAGACACTATATATGCAAATACGCTCGCGCCGCCTGGCCGGGCTGGGAGACGGCGTTTGCTCGCTTCCGCTCGGCTAACACTCATTCCGTCTCCCGCTGGTTTAATATAAGACCTCTGCGGTCTCTGCCGGCCCCGGCAGCTCCCCAAGCGCCCCCGGGAGGGTCCCGGCTCCGCCGAAAACTGCAGCCTGCCAGGCGGAGCCGCCGCGCGCTGGGAGGTTAATAGCGACTGGCGACCAAGGGCCACGGCGCAATGCCGAAGGCACAGATTCGCCTGGCGAGGCAGAAATCCGCCTCTGGGGAGACTGATCTCTCCCCACCCTACCCCCGCACCTCCTACACACACTCACGGCAGCCCGCGCGCCGGGCCTCGGGGTGAGGACCCCTTGTCCGCGCTTCTCCATCCCATCTGGGCTAAGGGCAAGGCTTTCCCTAGGCCTCGAAGTAGAGGAGGCGGGTGGGTGGCGTGGAGAGGGGCAGCCGCGAGCGGGACAGCGCGTGGAGGCCGGCTGGCAGGCCCGGGCCGCTCTTAGCCTGCGGAGACCGGCGCGCGCGTGGGTGCCGGCGCCGTGCGCTCCTCGGCGCTCGTTCGCGAGCCAGGCTGGGTGCGCCCCGCTGCCGGGCCGCGCGAGCCCGGTGTACACTATTCATGTTTTTATTAATCTTAAATACTTCATTATATTTATGCTGCCCGCCCACAGAAAGTACAAGGCCATTCTTGAAATAGCCTGAAATGTAGTAATATTCATTAAAGTGGCTCCTAATTATGAGATTTAATCAAGCGTGGTCCGCCGAGCGGGCAGCTCTGGCTGGTGAGGCGAACAATGACGGCGTTATTATTATTGCTGTTGTTGTTGTTAGCCTCGTGCTCAGCCGCCGAGGAGACCGTACCTCTTCAGCTTAGGCACGGTCTCCGCAGAGGGATTTGAGGATCCCGAGGTGGGGGCACGGTGCGGAACGACTTCCGTCGGGGTGTGTGGGTGGCCCAGACTTGCTGCCCTTCACCGACGCCAGCCCCCGGTCCGTGCACAGCCTGGGCAACAACTCTGGGCGGAGGTAGGGTGTCCGCAGACCCCTAGGCTCTCTGTGTCCACCGGGACGCCAGGGCCGGTTTTCTGGGAAGGGGGAACCTTGGGTCCAGAGCCGAGGACCCGCCCCGCTGGTTGTCCCGCCCCCACCTCTCTCGGGGCTGAGCCCCGCGCTTTGCCCGGAGCAGAAACAAAGAGTAGTCGAGATTTGCCTTCCAGGCCGCCTTTTCATCCCCCCAGCCTGGAGGGTGTCCCAAAGAGGCCCCCACTCCGTCACCCGTCATCCCCGCCCCAGTCTCCTCGGAGACCCAGGAGGGAAGAAGAGCTGATGGCCCAGTGAGCCCGCAGCGCTTTCTCCTTGGCGGAGAGGGTTTGGGTGGGGAACGCGGGCGGGAGGGACCCTGCCACAGCCGAGGGTCCTCCGTGGGGCCGAGGAGTGGCGGGGATCACGGCGTGCACAGCCGGTCTGGAAGCATCGGGGCGGGTCGCCGCTCCTCCCCATCTGTCGAGCTGTGAAACTTGGCCGCGCGGTCCGAGCGCGCGCTGCCTGCGGAAGGGGCCGCCTCACGCCTTTCAGCCAGCGCATTCGGGGTTCTCTCCTCCCGCCAAATCCTTTGTCTGGAAGGGGACTGTCGGCTCTGCCGCCATGGTCTGCCCTCCTCCTTCCCCCAGCCGCTACCCCCTGCGCGAACTTCCCTTTCTTCCCCTCGCTTTTCTCTCCTC